AACCTAAGTCTTTGTGGTGGTGGTTGTGTGCCATGGAGTCAGTTCCAACTCACAGCGACCCTGTATAGGGTTTCCGAGGCTGTAAATCTTTATGGTAGCAGAAGGACTTATCTTTCTCCTGCGGACATGATAGATTTGAAATGCTGCCCTTGCATTTTGCAGTCCTACTTATAACCCACTGTGTTGCCAGGGTTCCTTTTAGTCTTTGTAACTCCCATAAAAAAACTCTCTTCATGATGATTCTAGGTAAGAGAAGGTGGGGAAAGATACTGATAAGATGCTATCTGTGGATATTACACCGAATTAATTGTAATTGTAAAACCTTGACACACTAGCATAGGTAGAAAATGAGCCATCTCAAAAGCAGGAGCTGGAGTCTCACTACCATCAAAGGAGAAGAGTTAGGAGTAGAGCACATCTTTTAGACTCCAAGATCTCTGCACATTGAACTTCCTTGACCTAGGGACAGAAATCTGTGACACTGGTAGAGTGGCAGAGGAGCAGCAGCAGCAGAAGCAAGAACTAGAGCACCAGACAGAGTGGTAGACTTCACGGCCCATGAAGCACGTAAAGCTGAGTGAGTCTGGGCAGGAGGCGTGCTTGCAAAGTGGGGTGTCTCCAGGCACGTACTTAGGGGTAAGAGCCATGCACCTAGAGCTGACTGCCGTCGGTCTTTGACTTTAGTGGAGTGGTGTGTCATGTCAGCAGCCCTGTAAGAGCTCCGTAATATTGACTGGGTCAGAGCCGAGGAGAGGAGAGACTGTCCTGACTGGAAGAACTGTGCTCTGAACATTTCTGCCCTTAAATTGTAACCTGTTAGCTTTCCTTATAAACCCCATAATTATGAGTATGCTGTGTGAGTTCTGTGTGGCCATTGCAATGAATTTTTGAATCCAGTTGAGTAGAGAGTATTGTGGCATACTGTGGTTGGTGTCATGTCATTTTAGTGCAGGGTGAGTTCATTTCCAGACTTGACTAAAGGGTGACTAAAGGCCATATTCTGACCAGAAACCTGGTTTTCTTTATGATTTTAAGTTTTGTTCCACATTTTCCTCCCACTCTATCCAGGACCTTCTAATTGATTCCTATTAGGGTAGTTGGTAATGGTAACTGGGCACCATGTAGTTCTTCTGGTGTCGGGGTCATGGCTGCTTTTGTTTCTGTGATTGCCCTTTAGCCCATTATATGAATTCCTTCCATGTGATTTTTATTTCCTTAACCTTTCTTTGCTCTGTATGCGCAAAGACCAATAATCACACCTTAGTAGGCTACTCTGAAGCTTTTAAGAAGACCCCAGGTGATACTTAACCAAAGTAGGATGCAGATCCTTGTCTTTGTGCACTATGTTATGTCAGTTGACTTTGGTGTCCCTGAAAACAATGGTTTGAAGCAGTCTTTTATTTCTTGGTATCACTCTCACTTCTCCATATGAAAATACTATAGTGACATTTATTCCCCCTTTTTGTTTTGATGTTGTCACCATTTACAGAGTTTTACCTCTGGTATCCTGTTTTCAGTCTTTTAACTTTGTTTTATTTTTGAGAATTCTTTAACCAGGGTTGGTATCTGGCTAATGCTGTCTTGTGGCCTAATCACACGTTGTTATCTGATGTTGATTCTCTGTCTGAAGGATTCCCTTTATTAAATCATTTCTTTCTTTCTTTTTTTTTTTAATAAATGATTTTCTCTCAATGCTCTATTCCCTTTTAATATTTCTTATAAAGTTGGTCAGTTTTTTAAAAAGTTTTTTTTTATTTCTGTTAATCTGGAAATACCCTAATTTTTTCATTGTATTTGAGAGACAGTTTTGCTGACTATATAATACTGGTAGGTACCCACTGCCTTCTTGCTTGCATGGTTTCTTCTGAGTAATCAGAATTTTAGTTTTGTTGACGCCTTTATAAGTGGTTTTCCATTGTTCTCAAGCTGCTCTCAGGATTCTTTTGTCTGCTTTTGACAAGTTTGATTATGATCTTAGCACCTTTTTTGGGAGTCCAGTGCCATGGGATAGTGCTCTGGACTGCAAGATTGCTTTGAACCACAATGTCGGTGGTTCAAACTCACCAGTCACTCCTTGGAAACCCTATCTATAGGGTCACTATGAGTCCAAACCAACTTGATGGCACTTAACAACAGCAACAACAAGCTTGGATGTGGTTTGTTGAGCTTCTTGAATGGATATCTTCCATGATATTAAGCAAGTTTTTGCCAGCAAATTTTTGATTGTTGTTGGTTTTTTTTAGGGGTCTTTTGTCCTTGTATTCCAATTACTTGTAAAATTTTTGTCTTGATAGTGTCCTACATAATTCTTAGGTTTTTGTCATGTTTTTTTTTTCTGATTTTTCCTCAAATTGGTGTCAAGATATTTGTCATTTATTTCGCTGATATGCTTTTTCATTGATTCAGTTGTTCACCCATGTCCTTCTATACAGAGTTGTCTGTTTCTGACATCTTATTGTTAATCTTCTGTATTTCTAAAATTGTTGTTTTTGTATGGTTTCTAATTGACTGTTCATTTTGTTCTTAAGTTGTTTTCCTAAAGTCTTCTATTGCTTTGTCTGTGTTTTCCTTTGTTTTGTCTGTATTTTCCTTGATCTCTTTCATATTAGTCTTTTGAATTCCTTATTAATAGGTTCATTACTGTTTTTTCTTTTAGTAGGTTTTCTAGGTCTTAATTTTTTTACCTGCTGGAATCATGTTGTCTGCTTTATGGGTTTTGATATTCTCCAGTGTCTCTGAGGCATTTAGGTATTACATTCATTTGTTGTTTGCTACATCTTTTGTTTTATTCTATTTTAAAATATCTGAGTAGGCAGGGCATGCATACTATTCTGGTCAATAGTCTGCCATTCTGGAGCCCTTACCACCTGTCTCTGAGTGGGTAGGGAAGTGGCTGGGTGTGTGAGCATGTGTTTTTGTTCGCTGGTCTTGTGGGTCACCTGAGGATGTAGCTGGTGTTGCTGGGATTATGATGTGTCTATCTAGCCTGTCATCTGGGCATGAGTGCAAGGAATGTTCTCACTGTTGGGTTGGGCGATATGTTTTGTGCACTGCCAGTTTTGCCAACTGGTTGAGGCAAGGATGTCTGTGGCATTTGTTATAGGGTGAGTGTTATGGAAATTCACTCAGAGTCCTGGGCAGACAGGGCTGCACAGGCATGGTTGAGGTGAGCACAAGTCTCTGAATGCAGGAGTGGGCGGTACAGAGGTCAGTGCAGGGGGATGCCACCAGTCGTGTACTCACCAGAATGGTGCTCAAAGTGTTCAAGAGCAAAGATGTCAGTTTGAAGACTAAGGTGCTCCTGACCTAAGCCATGGTGTATATGTACATATAGACACATACATTCCACTCTTCTTTCCATTCCTATTCAACATGTGTCTCTGTCCATGTATCTGCCCACCAAATATTGTTGTTCCACGGTTGCATGTTGTTAAGTACCCTCGAGTCTGTTTTGACTCATAGCGACTGTGTATAGGGTTTCTGAGGAGAGGAGTGGGTTTGAACCACTACCTTGCGATTCAAACCGAACTTGCCGTCCAGTGCTGATCCTTCAGTGCCACACCAGAACTCCAAGGTGGTATATATATCACTGTATACCTCTGTCCCTTTAGCCCTTTTATACTTCCCTGTGTCTTCACCTGTCTTCATCATTGTTCTGCCAACCTTCCTCTTCTTGTATATTGCCCTCCCTGTCACCTGAGTTAACATGTGTCTACTTTCTAGTCAGTGAACGATTCAGCCTTCCCTCCCACCCCTCCCAACTATCAAATAATGTCTTATTTTTCTCTTTCAGACTCGTATATATGTGGGGTGTATATAGCTTCATCATTCTGCCACCCTTCCTCTTTTTGTGTTGCTCTCCCTCTTCTTGCATATTGCCCTCCCCCTTCTTGCATCTTGCCCTCCCTATCACCCAAGCTAAAATGTCTACCCTCTAGCCAGTTAATTAAGTTTTTATAATAATGGTCTCATACAGTGTTTGTCCTTTTGTGATTAATTTCACTCAGCATAATGTCCTCAAGGTCCATCCAGGTTATGAGGTGTTCTGAAGATTCATTGTTATTATTCAACTTTGCATAGTATTCCCTGTGTGTATGTACAAGGTTTGTTTATCCATTCTTCCATTGTTGGGCATTTAGACTATCATTTTGCTATTGTGAATAGTACTGCAATGAATGAGTATATTTCCACTCGTGTCCTGGTTTGCATTTCTTGTGGATATATACAAAGTAGAGAGATTGCTGGGTCATCTAGTATTTTCTGTTTCCAACTTTCTGAAGTATTACCATATCATTCTCCAGAGTGGTTGAACCATTTTACAGTTCTACCAGCAATGTAGGAAGACGAAGCCATGGTATTTTCGGTAGCCACATATGCATATGAAAGTTCAACAATAAATAGGGAGACAGTAGAAGAACTGATGTATTTGAATTGTGGTGTTGGAGAATATTAAAAGTACCATGGACTGCCAGAGAATGAACAAATCTGTGTTGGATTTGAAGTGCAACCAGAGTTCTCCTTAGAAGCATTCTTATTCTTCAGACAGATTATCAGGAGGAACCAGTCTCTGGAGATGGACATCATGCTTGATAAAGTGGAGGGTCAGCAAGAAACAGGAATACCCCCAATGAGATAGATTGGTACAGTGGCAGCAGTAGCAATGGGCTCAAGCGTAATGATTTTGAGATTGGTGCAGAACCAGGCAATGTTTTGTTATGTTGTACATAGGGTCACCATGGGTCAGACCTGGCTCAATGGTACCTACAACAACAGCAACAATAATGTAGTTGATTACCTGAAATTTGGAGTGAACTGTACCACTTTTTAATTCTGTAACAACACTTAAAGTTTAGTGCTAGGAATAATTTATTAGAGCTGTTGTATTAATGCTACTTTTTGTAATTAGTGGAAACTTTGCAACGGCATTTTCTCTAAACTGTAAATCATTGCAAAGTGTGGTAAAGATCTCCTTAACGTCTCTCTCTTTTTTGTTCACACAGATAGAGCTAATTGACAGAGTTGATGATATCTATCGGAATACTTCTTGGGACAATGCAGGTTTTAAAGGCTATGGAATACAGATAGAGCAGGTATTTATCAATGGACATGACTTTATTACTGAGTTAAATTATATGATATAGATATATGTTACTTGGAAATCAGTAAATATTCTCCAATACTAGTGATTTTTTTTTCCCTGATGAATCAGTGTTTTTATCAGTTATTTATAGATTATGACTCTTTGTGGGCATATTGTAGGCACAAAGCCTTTTTACCCACTGTGATCTCTCCCTTGTCTTAAATTCATGTCCCTTTTATTCCCTACATTGTTTTATTTATTTCTCTGATTATGCTTTATGTCACTGAATAGAGTTATAAGCATCTATCTCTAACAGTGCCTACCACATATTGTACCATTAGACAGTTTTGATAAAAGTACTGTTTACATTTGTAAGGCATTTACTTACACATCTAGAACCCTTAGGCCTCATTTCCAAAGCATCTATTTTCGATTGCTTGTAATCTGTTAACAGAATGTGTCCAGCAATGATATGTTGATGTCACCATAATTATATTTCAACAAATATTAATTCAAATTGGATAAGACTAGTTAAAATGATTATTGAAGAGTAGTATCTTAGACAACAGAAATTTTGATATGTAAACTATATATATCATTGTCACGATTGTTTATCCAGGTTTTGAACCATATCCCTATAGGTTCTGTGATGTAGAATTTAAAGCTTTTTTAAAAACTTTTGAAATCACACATGATACTTAAAAAATGTTGAATTTTATGGTACTGTTATAAAAAGCAAGATTATTATTTTTCCCTTTTTCATTCTCTTTTTTGCATTTTTTGTGTTACTATTTTGAGTCAGTAATATTTACACATAGTACTAAAACCAGTGAAGAGTAAATCTCTTAAGCCTCTGTCCATTGTCAGCCTAGTTCTTTTTCCAAGAGGCCTCCATGTTACTGGTTTGCTATGTATCATTCCAGAAATATGTTATGCCTGTATAATGGGATACAGGTGTGTATTTGGCACAATGACAGTATGTGGTACACCTTAGCACCCTGCTTTGCAGTCACAAAAAATGTTGACAATTATTCCATATTTGGTGCATATAAAGCTGTCTCACTTTTTTTTTTTTTTTTTGCCTCACTTTTTGAAATAATAATTTTTTAAATCTGCTTGCCTGCATGCCTTCATAGAGGGTACACTCTGGTCAGCATCTTACTCTGCGGCAGGCATTGAAGCTTTTGTGACAGGTGTTCCAAATTTTAGGGACCAATAAATTCCTTTAACAAGGTAGAACCATTTGAAAGGTTGTTGTTGTTGTTATGTGCCGTGGAGTCGGTTCTGACTCATAGCGATGCTGTACAGGGTTTCCAAGGCTGTAAATCTTTATGGGAGCAGAAAGCCTCATCTTTCTCCTGCGGAACAGCTGGTAGTTTCGAACTGCTGTCCCTGAGGTTTGCAGCCTGATTCGTAACCACTACCCTCGATACCAGAGCTCCTTAGTTGAAAGGTAGAGGAATAATAATAGGAAGTAAAAATATCAGCTTCATTAGTGATGAAAGATGGGTTGGAGGATTGAGTTTAGATGTACAGCCATGGCAGGCTTCCAACTATTTCATCTAGAATTGACCATGACTACTTGCCACCAAATCTTCAAAGCCTGCCCCAGTAAAGAGTGGATCAGAATGTATCCTATATGTAGACAGGCAGATCCAAAGGGAGACAACCAGAAATAAGTGAGCTCAGTGTGACTTTGTTCCTTTTCCTAAACTTGTCATCTGATATGTTGCATCTCCTTTGGAGAGAAGTTTATGTTCTTAATTTTCTTCTTTCCTTCACTCCCTGCCATCTAGTCAACCTAGTCAACTCCAACTCACAGTGACCCTTTGTAGGGTTTCTGAAGTGATAAATCTTTAAGGCAACAGAAAGCCTCATCTCTTCCCTGCATAACCTCTGGTGGGTTTGAATTGCTCACCTTATGGTTAGCAGTCTAGTGTTTGTCCTGCAATATCACCAGGACTCCTCTTTTCTTCTTAACAGGTTTAATTTGAATTTGTGTGAACTACATATTCAAAGAAAGATCTTTGTTTTTTATAAACTTGTATTCCTATGATGTACAAAGTGATGTACATCTTACCATTTTATGTTTCTTTAATCATTGCCTTCAGTTGGAATAATCATTTTAGGCTCATGGGGCACAAGTTCTAAATTTTTTACAGCTAAATATAGAACAAATTAAATTGTAGGAGCATACTTACGACTATCAGTACTCATTGACATATACGAATGGGTGTCAAAAAGTTTGTTGAAAACTTCCATTATCTTTTCATTCCATTTTTTTACATACTTTTTGAAGCCCGTTTTATGTTTTCCATGTATATAATTTTCCATTATTTTATTATTTTTATTTTTTTCCCATTTGTTTTTAAACATTGAATATTATTATAGCTGGAGAATTTATGGAAGTTTGATTATAAACGTTTCTTCTAGAATGATGGTGGTGGTGGTGCTGTTGAATTAGTTCTGACTCATAGTTACCCTGTTTAGGATTTCAGAGGAGCAGCTAGTGGGTTTGAACTGCCAACCTTGTGGTTAGCAGTCAAGTGCTTATCCTATAGCACCATTCCAGGACTCAAACCAGAAAACTCACTGCTATTGAGTTGATTCCAATTCATGGCAACGACAGATAAAATTTTTATAGCCACATCTTTCTCCCATAGTCATTGGTGGGTTCAAACTGCTGACTATTTGATTTACAGCTGAGCGTCTAACCACTCCACCAGCAGGGCGCCTCTGTAGAATGGTGTTATTGTTAGGTGCCTTTGAGTCAGTTTTGACTCATAGCCAAGGAGTGATTGGTTAGTTTGCTGTCCAGTGCATTATCCTATAGCACCATACCAGGACTCTAGAGTGATAGACGGCATTGTTTTGAAAAGAGTGCAGTATTATTTCAGAGGCCTACTGACTTTTTTTTTCAAGTGTTCTAAGTATATTATTTCTTTAAGTATAGATTCGCATCTTAAAATCTCCAGAAAAGGTAAAACCTGGTGAAAGACACTATAATATGGAAAAAAGTTATCCAAATGAAGAAAAAGATGCTTGGGATGTGAAGACGTTGTTGGAGGTAAGTTATGGAATCTTAGATACGACGCTTTTAATCACCAGTAAATTCTTGTTAGTATCACTTTCTGATTTCAAATAATATAATCCTATCTGTATTAATTAAGATATATAGGAGGGACTTCAAAAAGTTTGTGGAAAAATTCCATTATCTTTTAATTACATTTTTTCCATGAACTTTTGAAGTCCCCTCATATTAACAAAAGTAATGAGAAACCAGGAATACTGTACCCCAGCTGATCCAACAGTGACTCCCACCATCTCCTGTAACACAACAAACAGCATAACTGTGGAAAAGAAAAAATGTCATAAGCTATTTTCCTAACTCCGATATTTTTGAGAATAGAATAGAAAATGGTAGGTATTCCTTATATAAATATTTTGCACACCATTTTATTAATTTAGTTCTACCTGAAGCGTATCAGTGGACTTCTTAGAATGAATAATAAAATATGTGTTAGACTAATGAAATATACAAAGGAGATCTGAAATTTTTACAAGAATTAAAATTTTTTGTGTTTTTACTCTAGTGATAAATCTAAAGATCGTAAATAAACATTGTATTTTATAGGGATACTTACCTATTAACAGGGTTCTGCTGCATGGTTCTAGTTCATTGTGGGGAGGGGCAGTAAGAAGTAATGGTTAGAGTTGGGACTATGAGTAGGTGTAGGCTAGGCCTAGGACTTTAGTTATTGTAAATACTATTGTTAGGAATAGGGTTAGTGTTAGGGGCAAGGTTTGGGCCAGGGCTAGGCTTGGTCTAGATTTTAGGGTTCTAATTAAATTTATTTTTGTTTAATTTTTTTTCTTGAAATCTAATTGATTTCCTATTCATTTGGAAGTCCTTTAACTACATTATTCCCTCTTTTTACTTTATGTATTTTGTTGTTGCAACTGTATCTCTGGCTATCGATTTTCATCTAATAGGTCTGTTTTTACTTTGAACACTTTTATATCCAGGTTGAGTCTAGGTGATATTGGTATGTATGTTAATCTCAGGTTGATGTGTGCTATTGTTGGTTCTCTGTCCAAAGAACTTCCTTTAGTATTTTTTGTAAAGTTGGTCTGGTGTTTACAAATTCTTTTAAAATTCATTAGTCTGAAAATGACGTAATTTTGCCTTTATATTTAATGGACAGTTTTGCTGGATATTCTTGGTTGTCAATTTTTTTTCTTTCAGAATTTTATATATGCCATTCCATTGGCTTCTTGCCTGTATAGTTTCTCTTGAGAAATCAGCATAGTCTTTTTACTTCTCCTTTATAGGTAACTTTTCATTTTTCCTGAGCTGCTCTCAGGAGTCTTACCTTGTCTTTAGTTTTGAGAAGTTTGATTATAATATGTCTTGGTGTTCTTGTTTTGGGGGTCTGTCATGTTTGAAATTATTCTTGTCTTTCATCATGTTAAGGAAGTTTTCTTCCAACAACTCCTGTACATATTCTCTGTTTGTTTTTTCCTTTTTGTCTCTTCCTGTTATGGAATTCCTATCATATATAAATTATTCCTCTTGATGATGTCCCACACAAATCTTAGCCTTTCTTTGGATTTTTTTTTTTCTTCTGATTGTCCCTCTAGCAGATAATTATTGAGCCTTTTTTTAAACTTAGTAATTCAGCTTTCCATTAATTCATTTCTATTTCTTTGTCCTCTCAATGTATTATCTATTTCTGAAGTTTTAGTTTTAGTGTTAATCTTCTAGCTTTTTAATTGCTGTTTTTGCATGGTTCACATTTTTTCAATAATTTTGTCAGTTTCTAAAGCTTTCCATACTTTTGTCTCTGTTTTCCATGATTTCATCAGTAGTTTTCTTGATCATTCTCTCAATCCATTAAAGTTGGCTAATTAGCTTTCTTTAAAATTCCTTAGCAGGTAGTTCTGATACCACTTTTGGTGTTATATTTAAGACGCTGTATTTTGGTCACTTGTTTGAGGGACTCTGTTTCCGTGTATAAGCTAAAATTGCCTGTTTTCTTGGAGGCACTGTGGTGTTGTATTTATATTTAGTTGATAATTGTGTACTGGCATATTATCAGGCACTCTTCACCATTCTTCTGGTGGATGTGGATGAACTTAATTCTTTGTTCACTGTTTGTGTAGTCTAGTTCAGGGTGGGTTCATGCATCTCCAGAAGTAGGGGTGTCATGTGAGGTGCCTAAGCCTAGGCAGAGCAGAGACTGTGCAGGAGTGGGGTCACAAGCCGCTGGGTTGGGAGGGCAGGGACTGGTCATACTCCAGCTATCAGGACGGAATCGGGAACAAAGGAGAACTGCACCTTCTTGCTGCCAACCTCTCTCTGCGTCCTGTGCCTGCAGGCTTCTGTGTCAACAGTGCTCGCAAACGTTCACGATGACCATGCCACTCCACACCAGCCCACAGTCCACCATTTTTCTTCTCTCACTGCTCCTGCTCAGCCTCCTCTTCCAGTCGGCTCTCAGTCCCTCGCTGTCCTATCCAGTGATGCTCAGGGTTCCAGGATCACCCTCTGTATCTGCTTCATTTGAACTTCCTTGTCTTTGTTGCAGAGGGTTACCTCAGTGTGTCTGTTTACTCTGCCATCTTGCCCTGGAACCTGCCACATGGTGTTAGTGTCTGAGTTTGTGTATGCTATCATTTGATTGTAAAATAGCTTTCTGTGATTTGTCTTTTAATGTGTTGGTAAGTTGTCGCGCTAATAAATTATGAATTTAGCAGCTTAAACCGTCACTTTTATTATATATATATATACATACCAGTGAAATGTGTGTGTGTGTGTGTATGTATATATATATACATTTTTGTTAACTGCCTGTATAGAGTTTCCGAGGAGCAGCTGGTGAGCTTGAATTTTTGTGGTTCAAACTGACTTTGCAGTCTAGCACATTAACTCACAGTGCCACACCAAGAATCCCAGATAATAGATATATATATAGATAGATAGATAGATACATGGATAGAAATTTATATCAAGGAAATGACTTATAATTCTAGAGTCCCAGATCCCCAGTGGAAGAGACACAGAGAGCCTTTCCCACGTGTCCGTTGTATTGGGAGAAACCACACCCCCCAGAAGCATCCCTTCAATTGATTGGCTGCTCATAGCCATTCTTCATACAGTAAATTATGCCTGTATTAGGTTTCATCACTATGGAAATAAGCACATCTTAACTGCTAAACCAGGAGAATCTTGAGCTAGTCAATTTGACACAGAACCCTAACTATTAACAGCTCATCTGGATTCTTTGCTTAGGATATTAGAGAATGTAGATCAAGTTTTCAGAACTTGAATGAAATGAAAGGATATTACAACTCTTTATCCAGATTGAGACCCATAAAATGCTGTATCAGTATTGTATTCTAACATACCTTATCTTACTTTTTTAATACTAAATGGTAACTTTAGTGAAAAACCACTGAGCTACAACAAATTGCATATATTTTAAATACTTGATGAATTTTGATATATGTGCATGCATGTGACCCTGTCGCCATGATCAGTGTAATGAACATATTAAGTACCCTCTGAAGTTTTCTCTTACCCTTTTGTATTCCCTTCATTTCATCTCTTTATAATACCTTATTTTATCTAATCCACTAACTACCCTGAGACTAGAACCATTAACCATTTTAAAGAGTCTTAGTTAGATTAAATGAGTTACCCATGGTTAGTTGTGCAACAAGAATGGTAGCCAGAATTGAGCAGCCAGATCTTCCAAGTCCTGGAGCAGTTATACCTTCTTACTTCTTTGCTCTTTCCTGGGTTTCCAGTCAGCCCATGTCAGGAGAGAACTAGAAAGGGAAGAATGATCTGCATCTCTAGATGCTTCACTCCAGTGCTCTTCCTTGATGGTCTGCAAAGATTCCCAGAAGTCTCTGCCCCGTTACCATGTTGTTGTTATTATTAAGTGTTGGCCATTTGGTTCCAACTCATAGTGCCCCACATATGGCAAAGTGAAACACGCCTTGGTCCTGTGCCATCCTCACAATCTTTATTATGTTTGAGCCCATTGTTGCAGCCACTGTTTTAATCCATGTCCTTGAGGCCTTCCTCATTTTTGTTGATTTCTTCTTTACTAAATAAGTCACTGGCCCCTCCTGATAACATATCTAAGTGTATGGAACAAAGTTTCACTATCCTTACTTTTTTTTTTCTTTTTCTATTTGCATTTATAAGGGGCATTGGGGCGCTATTTCTTTTTCTCTATTCCTTTTTATTATGATTTGGATGAAAGTTTACAGTCATGCAGTAATTTACACCTATTTTGTTTCATGCCATTGATTGCAATCCCCACAATGTAACTCATTCCACTTCTTTCTGTCTTTTTTGTTTCCATTCATTCTTCTTTCCCATTCCTTCTTGCCTTCTGAACTTTGTCTCTGGGCAAATGCTGCCTTTGTGATCACTAAGAAGCTCACAGCTCCCTAGTGGTGTTCACATTATAGACCTTTCTGTTGTTTGGCTGAAAGTTGAGCCAGTGGAGTGAGTCTAGTTCCAGGCTTCAAGGGCTACTAAGGGCTATAGTGTCTAGGGTTCTGCCAGTCTACATTATACCAGTAAGCCTGGTCTTTTTTGTTGTTGTTGTTATGATTTTGGGTTTTGTTCTGTATTTTTCATGTACTCTATTCAAGACATTATACTGTGATCCTTTTCAGTGCTGTTGATTTGGCTGTACTTTTCCCAAGACAAATGTGGTCATTCTTGTGGTAGTGCATGATACATTCAGTATTCTTCACCAACACCATAATTTAAATGTCTAGTTCTTTGTCAGTCTTCCTTACTCACTGTTCAGTTTTCACATGCGTATGAGGTGACTGAAAATACTTTGGCTTGGTCCAGGTGCACCTTAGTCCTCAACGTGACATCTTTGCTTTAACTCTTTTAAAGAGATTTTTTGCAGATTTTCCCAGTGCAATATGCCATTTGATTTCTTGACTGCTGCTTTCATGGATTTAGATTGTGGATCCAAGTAAAGTAAAATCCTTGACAATTTCATTATTTTCTCTTTTTATTAGGATGTTACTTATTAGTCCATGTGTGAGGATTTTGTTTTTGTTTTTCTGTTAAAGTGTAATCTGTCCTGATGTCTATAGTCTTTGATCTTCATCAGTAAGTGCTTTAAGTCTTCTTTCTTTTCAGCAAACAGTGTTGTGTCTCCTGTATATCTCAGGTTGTTAAATGAATCTTCTCCAGTCCTGATGTTGCCATCTTCATCTAATCCATCTTCTTGGACTATTTCTTCAGCGCTTTCAGAATGCCAGTGTGGCCAATAAAGTGTCTCCTGGGACACCTCACTCCTCATACAGGGCTTTCTGACTTCTTATTTTAAACATTTTAAAATCAAGGATTTTTAATTTGGGACCTCTGGACTGTTAGCAAAGTAAATCCTCTTTAAATTAGTAGGAAAAAAAAATCTTCGCAAATCCCCAGTTGATTTAAGTTGATTTTTAATTTTAATCTAAGTAACATCAAGCTAGGTATCAATACTTGCTTTTTTCCTCTATGTTTAAAATGCCTATAAAGTTCCAAAACCAAAACCAATAAAAAGTAAAACTACAAAACTAATAAGACTGTTAAAATACTTTAAGACCACTTGTCACTGAGTCAGCTCTGACTTCTGACTACCTCATGTGTGTCAGAGGGTTTTCATTGGCTGATTTTCAGAAGTAGTTCACCAGTCCTTTCTTCTGTGGTGTCTCTGGGTGGACTTAAACTTCCAGCCTTTTGGTTCATCACTGAGCCCAGTAACTATTTGCACCCCTCCTGGGATATCTTTTTGATTGCAGGGTACTGAGATTCCCTGGAATAGATTCAAAGCTACTTGAACTGTACAGAATTATAATGTCTTCAGTGCTGTACTATGCATTTTTGACCAGCTGTCTAAAGAACAGTGCTTTAGTTCTGAATAGCTATGAAAACCTTCCCACCTTTCCCTGCTGAGCCATCCTGCTAGGCCACAGTTTGCCTTCTCACCTGTGTAGGTGAATAAGAACCCTAGGTGAAAGGCACCGGACTTCATCCCTTGTGATTCCTGGTAATCAGGCAGTGCTGCTCTGGAATATTTTGCCTAAACTCCTTTTTTCAGATGTAACTCTTAATCTGATTAAGAATACTTGTCTTTCTTTTTTTAAGCAATTCAGCTTTGATATAGCTGAAGAAGCATCTAAAGTCTGCCTTGCACATCTTTTCACCTACCAAGATTTTGATATGGGAACTCTGGGGTTAGCTTATGTTGGTTCTCCCAGAGCAAACAGTCATGGAGGTGTTTGTCCAAAAGGTGAGTTTTTCTATTTGTTACATGAATAGAATGCTGGAGTGGTAGGCTGATTGGGTTATGTTTAAATAATGTATTTAACAAGCCATTTGTTATTTCCTTTCTCCTCTAGCTTATTATAGTACCGCTGGGAAGAAAAATATCTATCTGAACAGTGGTTTGACCAGCACAAAGAATTATGGTAAAACCATCCTTACAAAGGTATGTTTTTTGTTTTTTTCCAGAGAGGTTGGACCATTTTGCAGTCCCACTGGCAATGCAGGAGTGTCCCAGTCTCTCCACATCCCCGCCAGCATTTATTGTCCTCTACATTTTTGATCTTTGCTGTTATTGTTGGTGTGAGATGATACCTCATTCTTGTTTTAATTTGTATCTCTCTAATGGTTAGTGATCATGAACATTTCTTCATATGTTTGTTGGCTGCCTGGATCTCTTCCTTAGTGAAGTGTCTGTTCATGTCCTGTGCCCACTTTTTAATTGGGTTATTTGTCTTTTTCTTGTAGAGGTGTTGTAGTTTCCTGTATATTTTAGAAATGAGTCCCTTGTCTGATGTGTCATTGCAAAGGATTTTTTCCCATTCTGTGGGTTCCCTTTTTACTCTTCTGGTGAAGTCTTTTGGTGCACATAAATTTTTAATTTTTAGTATGTCCTCTCATCTATTTTATCTACTTTTGTTTGTGTGGTTTTCAAAATGTTTTGTAGTCTGTGTATTCCCTGAATTAGTGCCCTCACATTTGTCCCTATTTTTTCATTGATGGCCTTCATAATTCTGGGATTCACATTTAGGTCTTTAATCCGTGTTGAGTTGGTTTTTGTATAAGGCATGAGGTGAAGGTCTTGTTTCAGTCTTTTGCATATCATTTTCCAGTTCTGCCAGCACCATCTGTTGAAGAGACTATCACCTCCCCATGCAATATATTTAGGTGTTTTGTCAAAAGTCAGTTGGCTGTATGTAGATGCGTTAATTTTTGGATTCTCGATTCTGTGCCATTGATCTATGTATCTTTCATTGTACCAGTACCAAGTTGTTTTGAGCACTGTAGCCATGTAGTAAATTTTGAAGTCGGGAAGTGACAGGCCTCCAACCTTATTCTTATTCTTAAGTGTTTTTTGTTTTTTTAAAGGAAAGATTTGAACTTTATTGTAGTAGAACCTCAGTTCTGCTATATCTTTATCCCAGAGAGTGGGCTGATCCTTTTGTAAGCAGCCGTGAGCTAAACAACTGTGCCACCAGGGCTCCTTCATATATTTGGGCAGGTATCCTCTAAAAAGTCACACTTGTTACTGTTTCTGGTTAAAGATATATACAGTGAAACCTGTGCCAGGCTAAATAGGACTAGACTGCCTTGTTTTTTCTGGTCTTGCAAGATTTTTGTCTTTGAGACAGTGCATTCTTACTACTTTTATACTGCAAGTATTAGTGAAAAATATTTGCCTTTTCCTTCTCTGAAAAGTTTCTATCGTACATTGATTCCAGTTTTTGCAGATATATTCTGTGGGGGAAATAAAAAAATTAAAAGCTTATAGAAAATAAAAGTTGCTTGTTAAATAAGCTCCTTTTCAAACCCATTAGGGTCATTGTTTTCTTGAAGACATTCTTCCTGAATCAGCCCACCACCATCAGTTCCTATTAGGCTACTTGCTGTCTAATCCTGCAATGTACTTCTCATTCCAAGATATCCCTGCACTTTCTCATTTCTTACACCTCCTATTCTTTCTCTTTCATGACATATACCATCATTTTGGTGAAGCAAATCCTTTTGGAGCTTTCTAAGAAATAAGAGGGAAATTATTTGAATTTTGCGTATCTGAAAATGTCTTTATTCTACTCTTAAACTTGATTAATAATTTAGGTGGGCATATTCTTGGAACTAATTTGGTGGCTCCTAAAGAGTCTGAAATCATTCTGGCTCTTTATTCTATGTTTGTGATCTGTTTCTCTCATGTGCCGTGGAATATGTTAGGATCTGTTAGGAGCCTGAAATAAATTTATGAGCAATGCATTAGGTTACAAATGACAGAAAATCGAATAAACAGTGACTTAAACAAGGGATTTAATTATCTCATGTGACAAGAAGTTCAGTGATAGCATTCTGTGAGTGGGATAGCAGTCAGTCGTGCAGTCAGGATCCAGGATCTTCCTGTCTTTCCCTCAGCCTTTCTAAGCACTTTTAGGCCTTTGCCCTCATGCTTCTCTGTTACAGGGAGGAGGAGACTGTAGCTAGCCACCTCTTCTCCTTTTTAAATACTCTTCTGCCATCTTCACCCACTCACTTTGTTAGTATCTCATTGGACAGTACTGGTTCACATGACTACGCACAGACTGAAGGGAGTGTGGTAAGGTGGCTATTTTAACTGAGTATATTGCTGCCCTAAGCAGAATTAGGACTGGGGGAAGGATACAGGACGGAGCAGTGTTTTGTTCTATTGGGAATATAGCTGCTATCAGTTGGAACTGACTCGACTTCATCTAACAATAACAAAGTAAGGAAGAAGAGGAGGTCGATACTGAGTAAGAGTGTTTGATACAATAATATTTTGACTGTGATGATATGAAAGGGCTTCAACAAGTTTAAAGCCTCTCAGACATGATGTAGTCCTCCCCACAGTATTTATAGTGCTGCTGTTTATTTTATAAGCCTTCTTTTATTTGGGTGAAAGGTGACTGCCAGGAGTGATTTAGTTGCAAGTTCAAGGGATATTTAGGGTGATAGTGTCGAGGGTTCCCCCAGTCTCTTTTATCAGTTTGCTTAGTCTGGTCTTTTTTCCTTCATTCTATCTAGGACCTTCTGTTATGCCTCTGGTCAGAATTGTTGGTAGTGATAGCTGTGCACCATCTTGTTCTGGTCTCTGGCTAGAAGAGACTGCAGTTTTTGTGGGCCATTAGTTTTGTGGACTAATTCTTCCTTGAGTCTTTTGTATCCTTTCTTTTGTTCCAGATGGGAAGAGACCAATAGTTGTATCTTAGATGTCCACTTGTAAGCTTTTAATATTCCAAATGGTACTCATCAAACTAGGATGTAGAACATTATCTTTATGAACTGTGTTATGCCAGTTACTCGAGTTATCCCAGGTTATACTGAGATGATTGTCCTGAGCGTTCAAACTCAGAAAATCAATCCCGTGAGGTATAGGTAATGTCTTGATCGTATCTGTAATTGTGTCCCTTATGAGAATACGTATATGTTGTTATTAGTGCCCTCGAGTTGGTTCTAACTCATCAGCATCCTTTATTTTAGTGGTTATGAGGACTGTCTGGTGAGTTTGAACCACTGACCTTGTGATTGGCAGTCTTGCAGTTAGCAGTCCAGTGCTTATCCTACAGCACCACACCAGGACGCAAAACAACAGAAGTAATGTTTACATATACATATATATATGTGTGTGCATATAATTTAATATAGTATGACTTAATGTAAATATGGGTGTGGCACTGCAGGTTAATGTACTGCTGGACTGCAAAATTGGTTTAAACCACAAACTCACCAGCCACTCCTCGAAAACCATATACAGGGTCACAGTGAGTCACAACTGACTCAACGGTGCTTAACAACAACAACAAATAACACATTTTTGTACAAATGATAGTACAAAAAGGGGTGTGTGTGTGGTGGCTCTGTATAGTAAGCACAGGACTTAGAACCGCAAGTTCAAACCCACCAGCCACTTTTCAGAAATCCTATAAAGAAAGGGTCACTTTGAGTTAGAACCAATTCTATGCCACTTAATAACAATAGCTAGATAGATAGTCTTATAAATGTATATACACATGTACATATATATGACTCTTCCCCTAACCAGTGTATATTGACTCCTAATTTTGAGTCAGGCTATGGACTATTGAAAGTCTGATTGGGGCTGATTTAATGGGAAGGAATGAACTTTTGTCTTTTCCTGGTCCTGGTATTTCTTCTAAAATTTCGAGCACATGTTCTTTTTGTGGTCTTTATTGATTGTGTCATCTCATATTCTTTGGCTTAGTCATATATATGTATATACATACATACATATATATGACTCTATCTATCTATGTATGTATGTATGTATGTATGTATCTATCTATCTATCCTCACACATATATATACAGTCGTGAGAGTAGGATGAATGGATAGTGGTAATTAGCTAGAGTTAGCTATTTATCAGTACCAGATACTATATCTGGAGTAACTGGTCAGTGTTTTGTTTTGTTTTGAATGTTCCAACACAGCTCATAAGTTATATTCTTATGGTGGCTGGTGGCTGTGTGCCGGTTCTTATAGTACCATTTAATATTACTAAATAGAATAGTTTTTATAATTGATGTAAGTAATCACAACTGTTGTTTGTTTGTTGATTTGATTTATCAGAGTCTTAGTTAAGACAGCATGGGCCAGACTGGCCAAAGTAGCTGATGATTGGATATTGAGATAACATTTTCTCTGCATGATCTTTAAGGAAGCTGACCTGGTTACAACTCATGAATTAGGACATAATTTTGGAGCAGAACATGATCCTGATGGTCTAGCAGAATGTGCCCCAAATGAAGATCAGGGAGGAAAATATGTTATGTATCCCATAGCTGTGAGCGGAGACCATGAGAACAATAAGGTATGTATCATTTGCAGCTTTTTTATGTGGTTAGGACAAGGAAACGAGGCTATGTTTGATTACCATGAGAGCTCAAAAAAAATATTAAATAAATTCCTAGGCATTTCCCTAGGGGTTGAACAGCAGATAACAAAGAACTGAAGCTTAGTTGTGTGTTTTAGAGGGAAGCATGTCCAACTAAATCTGCTTAAAGCTTTCATTTGGGCTGTTTATTAGATTAATTGTGTGTTGATTTGGAAAATTGGTTGGAGTAATTGGTAGGTGCTTTAGATTTCACAGTCTGTTGGGCTCAGGCTTTAGTTGTCGTTTATTTTAACTACACTTTGCATTTTTCATAAACATTTACTATAGCACACATGAAGCGTGCCAGAGCATAAGCCTCATGTAAGAAAGGACAATCCTATCTCTAGTACCTAGTAAAAGTACCTGGAACACAATGAATAGTCACTGAGTGCATACGTGAATGATCCACCATTGATGGTTTCTGATAGAGTACTACTCATTTCAGAATACTGAAAAAAAAAAAAAAAATTCAGAGTCCTGGAGAGTGGCTTGAATGAATTAAAAATATGCATAGATGTTTAGTCTTTTTCATTTCATTTGAAGTTAAGCAGTATCAGACAAAGGTAAAGAAAACATAATGGTTTTGTTGGTAAGTTGGCTTAGTGGGGATGGGGTGAGCTGAAAGAGTCTGACTCTCATTAGGAAAAAAGTAAATGATATCTAATCAAATCTACTACCATCAAGTTGATTCTGATTCATAGCCACCCTATATAGGGTTTCGGAGACTGTAAATCTTTATGGTAGCAGACAGCCTCATCTTTATCCTATGGAGCAGCTGGTGGGTTTGAACTGCCAACTTTGTACTCAGCAGCCCAATGCCTAATCCATAGCACCACCAGGGCTTCTTAAATAATGTATGTTGTTAAGTGCCATCAAGTTGGTTTCTACTCATGTTGACCTTGTTTAGGATTTCCGAAGCAGTACACCTTTGAGGCAGTAGCTGAATCACCAACCTTTGATTTGCAGTCCAGTGCTTATTTACAGAGCCACCATGCTTTTCCCCCAAGAGCTATGGGCTATTAAAAGTCTGATTGGGGCTGATTTAATGGAAAGGAATGAACTTTTGTCTTTTCCTGGCCCTAGTATTTCTTCTAAAATTTCTACCACATGTTCTTTTTGTGGTCTTTATTGATTGTGTCACCTCATTTTCTTTGGCTTTAAATTTGTGTAAGCAATCCTACTGTGCTTTGTATGTTTTGTTTTATTTTTCCTCTGCTTGACGACTTGTGCTGAGAAACTTTTTTCTACACACTTCTGCCCATTCTTCCAGCTTATCAAACGCTCTGTTAAATGTCCTCCTCTTTTTGAAGATTGTATTTGCTTTTCCAATCATATATGCTATAGTTTAGCACTGTCCAGCAGAACTTTCTGGATTGATGGGAATTTTGTAGTTGCTCTACTCAATACAATAGCTGCTAGACATGAGTGACTGCTGAGTACTTGAAATGTGACTTGAGAGACTGAGGAACTGAGTTCTAAATTAAATTCAATTAGTTGATTTTTCTGCTGCAAAAAATGTTAATCATCACATGTAAAAATATATTTATATGTAAAAATGGCTTCAAATTCTTTATTGCCACCACATCAATAATCCGGAAATGAAATGTTGCATTAATTAATACAAAACCTTTCTGTTCATAACTGAAACTTAAAAAAAAAAAAATGCTTATTGTGAAAGCAGATACAGTAAATTAGGTTCCCGTTTAACAATTTTGCACAAATTGTTCAGTGACCTCAGTTATATTTTTTGCAATATGTCATTATTTTCATTCATTCTGTTTGGTTGCACCATTTCCAGTTCTCATTACTATGGTCTGAGGTGAAACTGAAGTGTTTTTATCATTCTGAAGAGTACTGTGGAGGTCCTACCCTAAGAAATAATTACACTTGGGTGGTACAGATTTTTACCAAAACAAAGAGAAATGGAGGATAAGCAGTTGCAGGGGATATTTATGTGCACCCAAACGCCTTGTGAGATTTGTTTTTTTTTTGGTTTGGAGGTTTAGGGTCATGGTTTCATGAGACATTCCAGTTAACCAGCCTATCACCATTTTGTGCTAGGCTATTCTACTCTCTGGAGTCCTGGTGTGGTGCTGTGGGCTAATGTATCAGACTGCAAAGTCATTTGAACTGCGAGGTTGGTGATTCAAGTTTACCAACTGCTCCTTGGAAGCCCTATACAGGGTCACTGTGGGTCAGAATGGACTCCACAGCACTTAACAACAACAATTCTACTCTCTAATCAATTGCATAGTGCCCGGGGTCTTAAAAGCTTCCAGGTGTTCATTAAAGGTACAACAATTGGTGTTTTTACTCTCCTGGAACAACTGAGGAAGAAAGCGAGGAACAGGAAGAGAAAACAAAATGCATGGCTAATTGCCTCCATGAAGGAACTACCTCTTTTGCCAGGAGACCAAAAGAACAGGATGCTGTCCATCTACCATGACTGAACATTTTCATCAAATTTCTACAGAAGAATCCTGAGCAAAGCAGAGGGTGGGGGCATTAGTAAAATGTGGGACAGATTTGAAAATATTCTTGGAATTCAGACCTTCTGGAGCCATTATGGCTGGACGACCTTCTCACCCAAAACTCTTGGCCCTGAGATAACCTTAAACCAGAAAATATCCCCTGAACTCTTTGTTAAACCAAACAATAAGCTTATTTAGTCAAGAATGTTTGCCTTAAACATCTTTTGAAAACCTATTTATTGGGAACAAGTTGACAACAGCAACTGGAAAAGTCAGAAGGGAAGCTTAGGAGGCAATGAGCTCATGGTAATGGGGGTGGACAATTGAGGAAAGGCGGGCCAGAATGACTGCACTACTTGAAGAATGTAATCAGTGTCATTGAATGTAATCAGTGTCATTGAATTGAACATGTAGAAATTGACTTGTTAAATGTTTTGCTACGTATACTTGCAGCAACAATAAAAAATACAAATACTCCTCACTTATTGGCTATGCTGTTACCCAACATTTCACATTTATGACAGTGGTAAAAAAAAAAAAATTATCTATTTGTGCATTAATGATATATATCCAGTGGTAATAAACAATGAAATGTGGTGTGAGAGTAATATTGGCTGTGATGTTTAAGGTTATGTGTCACCGTGGTTGGGCCATCCTTCTCAGTGGTTTGACAGTTAGGCAGTGATGTAACTTGGCAGTCATGTAATGGTGTAGTTGTCTCTATTTTGTGGTATGATGTGGTCATCTTCCATTTTCACATAATTTGATTTTTGCATAGCAACCTGGACTTTGGAACCAAGCAAGTCAATAAGTGAGGAGGGGGTATCATATACAAGGAGGCTTCAAAAAGTTCATGGGAAAATTCTGTCATCTTCAGTCCCCCTTTTTTACAAACTTTTTGAAGACCTCTCATATTTATATATATATATTTTTAAAAGGTAAGAAAGGACTACACTAACTTTCCCTAAAATTTCTTCCCTCTCTTCTTGGTAAGTTTCCAGTGGTTTGGAAAAAGGAATAAATTGTTGTTGTTAAGTGACATTAAGTTGGCTCTGACTCATAGCAACCCTGTATAGGGCTTCCAAGGAGCTACTAGTGGGTTTGAACCCTGATCTTGCAGTTAGCTGTACAGTGCTTATCCTACAGCACCACACCAGGACTCTCATTCCCTAGTAAGATCTCCAAATTTAAAAGGGGGCAAAATGTGCTTCTGTACTCTAAAGTTGGGAACGTAGGGTACAGACTCCCTTTGAGTCACTGTTCAAGTATAGAACAGTAATTAAACTTTGAAATGAAATGTGTAGATAATAATTTACAATTTCATTTTTTTTAATTTTAAGTTTTTATTGTGAGGTTTACATAGAAGAATATCAGTTTTACATTTATCCTATCTTATTTCGTTTCATTACAAGGAGTACAGTCCCCTCCATGCATCATCAAATAACCAAAGGGTACACCCCACAGGCCCACCCTGAGACCATCAGCACACAGCCCCTCCCCTCTCTGAGTCCAGTGTCCTCAGCTGCTCCATCTGTCCACATCATCGTCTCTGTCTCCATCCCTGGTGTGTCTGCCTCTCTGGGTAGGGTCCCGCTCCCTACTCCTCTCACTCGATGGTCCCAGGGACCTCTACTCCTGGGCTGCAAAATCAGTCACTCCCTTCCTTTTGTCAAAAAACATCTACCTCTATTATTTCCTACCCTCACAGTCAGTCCTGATGGCAATTATTCACTATGTACCACAAAAGTCTTATCCCCATTTCCTTTTGCCAGCCCGGTCCCAACAGATTGGAAATCATTCAGTGGAGGTTCTACCTGCCCCTGCCCCATCTGGAACTAGGCTCCCTCTTGAAAGCTTATAAGCCAGTTACTTCGTGTCTTTATAGGCCCCCCATTTTGGGTAGCCAATGTCTAAGTTGCCCATCCCTGTCAACCCTGTGTACTGAGGGGGTGGGAGTGATCCTTGTTGTAAAGATTTGTTCCCTTTTTTGAGCTACTACATCCATAGGTGTAGGCCAAGTTCATCAAATTGTCGTAGGTTGCTTTTTTTTTTCCCCCCTTTCTTTCTTCTTCTAGTTAAGTTCTGATCATCCAGCCATCAAAGCTAGGTCAGGTGGGTACTATCTGAAAGTATGGGTGTTCTTGTGCATCTCCCCTCATTTCATATCAGCTGGACGCTTCACTCTTTGCTCTAGTCCTCTGTGGCCATGTCACTGCCTCTGGGCCCAGGAGTCCCTGGGTGTTGCCATACTGCTGGCCATCCAGGTCTCCACCCAGGTTCACAGGAGTCTATTGAATGTGGTCAGACTTAGCTCGCAACTTCATTGATCAACATGGTCACCAGGTCACCTGCCTGTCACCTGCAGGTCACCTGCCTGCTCATGTATTCCCCTTGAGTCTCAGTCTTGGAAGGGAGTTTGCTCTGAGGGGTCCCGACCACTTGCGTTGATGACTACTTATTCTTGTAGTAATCAATCAGACTTCCATTATTGTTTCAGATTTTTATTTCACAGATTATCTTCTGTTCTTCTGGCCTCTCCAGGCTGGTCTACTCATCCTTTCCAGTGGAAATTTCCTACCTCAGTCGGTTCTGAATGGGGTTCTGAATTCTACCTATGGTCTTACGCAATGTAAAGGGTCCGCAGGAAGTTTCTTTCACTGAGCAACTTCTAGCCCCCTTTAAGGTATTCCAATCAGTTGTAGGCTGAAGACGGACTTACAAGCTTTTTGTAGTGATGTTTCTGGCTATTCCTATTTCCCTACCTCAAGTGTCTATTTTACAATGGTAGGCAAGGGAAACCAATATTCAAAGGACAGCCAACATCTTAACATTATTGCCCTCTTTTACCCCTTCAAACCATGTCTCAAACTCCGTATCCCAGAGCCCTGTTGTTCCAAGGTTGTGCATACCTCATCATTTACCTCTGTCCCACTTAGCCCATGTGAACCTGCCTAACTTATTCTCCCATCAGCCTTGTTTTTCCATTCCTCTTCCCCTTCTTGTGTATTGTCTTCCCCTGCCACCCCCCCAGCACCCAAGTTATTCTGTGTATATTCCCTACCCTTGTGATCTATCTTCCTCTTCCTCCCCTCCTCTTATCCCATACATCCTGGTGATCAGCAAATATACATATAATTTCCCCTCCCCCCCTTTTTAGGGTGGGTTCTTTTTCTTAGTCTTTTACAATAATGGTCCTATGCATAATTTCTCCTTTTGTGACTAATTTCACTCAGCATAATGTCCTCAAGGTTCATCCATGTTATGCTGTGGCTTGCAGCTTCTTTGTTATTCTTCAAGGTAGCACAATGTTCTGTTGTGTGTATGTACCAGTTTGTTTATCCATTCTTCAATTCACTTTGGCTGCCTCCATCTTTTTGCTATTGTAAATAGTACTGCTATTGTCGGGGACCTGCCTCGACATAGGGGTTCGGTTCACGAGGGTTTGGTTCACGAGGAGGGGAGATCCAGCGGCGATAGGGATAGCGAAAGAATACACAGACAAACAGAAGAAGGGAGACAATGCGGCACCCCAAAGCCAGGGTGGATACATCACTGGTGGGCAGGCTTGGGAGTACAGGCATCATGGCCTCTGCAGGCAGCAACTCACTGCCCTGCCATCTTTACTGCGTGCCCTCCATCTTGTAACGCACTGCAATCTTTACTGCATGCCTTCTAACCCGTAATGCACACCTGGGGAGGCCCGGGCCTCTGTTTTATTTAGGGGAGGAGCTTCACACCAAGCTGGGAGGGACTTAGGCAAGGTACAGCTGCATCAGTACTTTTCCAGACATTCAGGTAACTTTACATCATACTTTGCTGGTTCGAATCCCAGGCCAGCAACTTGGATTCTCAGGCCCAATTAACATGTCTATAGCCCCTGAGCTCAGTTGGGGGAAGGTGAGAGGTAAGGACAAAAGCTTGGGCGGAGTCCCGCTGTTTTGGCTTCCTGAGCCAGGTCTGCAGGAGGACTCCAGTCGCCCAGGTGAATGGGCTGCACCTGGAAAAGGATTACATAGGATGGGTTTTTTGTCTGTAGAACAAAGAACCGAGAAGGAGCTAAGATATTTTTAGTTAATCCTTTGGAGAAAGGCTTAACCTTGCAACCTTTAGTCTCGGCTTTAGGAAAATATCACATTTATCTGTGGATTATCAAGAGCTCCGTGTATTAAATTAATACATGTAACAATATTAAGATGAAAAACAATTTGCCATTAACTGCCAGTGGCCTCATTTGTTACACTTGGGCCTATAGGGCCTCGAACCTTTGACCAGTCTTACACGGTCCACAACATGCTATGAACATTGGTGTGCATATATCTACTTGTGTTGTGGCTCGTGTTTCTTGTGGGTAAATACTAAGTAGAGGAATTACTGGATCATAAGGTATTTCTATTTCTAACCTTTTGAGGAAGTGCCATATTGCTTTCCAAAGTGGATGGACCATTTTGCAATCCCACCAACAATGTAGGAGGGTCTCAGTCTCTCCACATCCTTGCCAGCATTTATTGTCCCTGACTTTTTTGATCTTTGCTGTTATTGCTGGTATGAGATGATATCTCATTGTTGTTTTGATTTGCATCTCTCTAATGGCTAGTGATCGTGAACATTTCTTCAGATGTTTGTTGGCTGCCCAGATTACAATTTTATTTTTAAATAGACTGTATGGAATATCATGACTCTTAATAATAATCTCAAGTATTTGAAAACTTTAAACATGGATTGTTCATATGAATAGGGAAAGAGAAAGACATGAAACAGCAACAAAACCTGTTGTACCTTCCTGGGTCGTTTTATCTAGGAAGTGCAGCCAGTGCCTCATCCTAGCTATCACTAATGCAGTGCTGTGCAGGAGCAGTGAAGGAGACTGAGTCCACAGCTCTCAGCTTGGACCAGCCTGCTTTTCTTCTTCGTAGAATTTCCTGGGGTGTTTGGTTTCAGGATTTGTATATGAAAATATGAAGAGTTTTGGGTTTTTAACCAAATTCATTTGGATATGTCATTTGGAGGGACCAGCCCCTAGAAAAGGATCTCATGCTTGATAAAGTGGACAGAGGGAAAGAGGACGACCTGCAACAGTGGCTACAACAATGGGCTTGGACATAGGAACTGGACTGGAGAGTGTTTTGGTGTACATAGGGTTGCTTTGAGTTCGAACCACCTTGATGACACTTAGAAACAACCACCGAATTCATACCAACCTTTTAGCATTCCACAGAGGGAGCCACTCCACTCCATATGGAAAGGTGACAATAATGGGCCCTGGACATACCTCTAGAGTAGCTCTGTGGTTTTTACTATTTAAGAGTTTGTATTTTGCAAGTGTAAACAAATGGGAATGGGTTTTCATTATGTTACTTTTGGTCCTATGTGGCCCTTTCCCCCTTAGATGTTTTCAAACTGCAGTAAACAGTCAATCTATAAAACCATTGAAAGTAAGGCCCAGGAGTGTTTTCAAGAACGCAGCAACAAAGTGTGTGGAAACTCCAGGGTGGATGAAGGGGAAGAATGTGATCCTGGCATCATGTACCTGAACAATGATTCCTGTTGCAATAACGACTGCACATTGAAAGCAGGGGTTCAGTGCAGGTGAGAAATATCCAAACAGTGAGTTGTGGGGGGTTTGTGTAACCGAGTCCAACAAGCTGCAGACTGAGAATGCATGGGGTTTAGAACAAATTAGAGTGTGGGTGGGTTGTGGCTATATGTACCCTTAAGAGCAAGGAAAATGCTTTCTAGAAAGCAGTTTGACGTGATGTACCAAAATCCTTAATCTTCCATACCGTGTGATTTAGCATTTCACAGGCCAAAAGAATCTTTTGTTAAAGAAGCAAGTGCACAAGAAGAGTGGTCTAACAAGGATGCTCATGACCTCATTCTTTTGTAATAACAAAAAATTGAAACACTCAAAATGACGGTCCTGGGATTTCATGAATGAATTATTGTGTGTCCATACAATAGAATAGTGTTCTATAATACTATTTAATGACATAAACTAAACATGGAGGAAACAGGTTAAAAATGAAAAGGATTTGCATTTTTCAAAAACTTTTTATTGTGAATTGAGTGAAGATTTATTGAGATCATTACTTTTTCATTCCACAAATCTTACACTCTGTTTTATCTCAATGATTGCAATTCCCTCAATGCAACAACAGTTATCCCATTTTCTCCCTGTGGTTCCTATTTCCATTCTACTCTCCTTCCCTTCTCAACTTTGGCCTTAGATAAATGTTGCCCTTTTGTCTTGAATGATTGACTATTCCATGGTGAGCACACCTTACTAGTGTTGTTTTCTCCCTTATAAAGCTTCTACTGCTGGGCTGAAAATTGGGCCACAAGGGTGAGTTCCATTCTGGACCCAAAGGGTGGTCAAGGGCCATAGTCTGTTTCTGACTAGTAAGCCTGGCTGTTTTTTTAAAGTAATTGTAAGTTTTGTTCTGTATTTTCTCCCTCTCTATCTGGAACCTTCTAATGTGATCCCTTTCAGAGCAGTTGGTAGTAGTGGTAGCTGGGCACCATCTAGTTCTTCTGGTCTTAGTGATTGATGTTCACCTGCTTCACTGGTTCATTGGACTATCGGATTCCAAACATCTTTAGTTTTGTTTTTTAAATGTTTTATTGTGAATTATGTGATAGTTTACTTGGGAGAACATTAGCCTTATATTCATCCTGTTGTTTATCATTTCATTGCCTTGGTTATAATCCCCTCCATGCATCATCAACCAACCAAAGGGTATACCCTGAAAGCCTGCCCCCTGGTGGTCAGCACACAGCCCCTCTCCCTCTCTGGGGCTAGAGTCCCCAGCCGCTCCTTCTTTCTACATCATCGTCTCTGCCTCCATCTCTGGTGTCACTGCTTCTCTAGGTAAGGTCTCACACTCCGCTCTTCTCCTTTGATAGTCCCAGGGACCTCTGCTCCTGGACTGCGTAGTCAATCACTCCCCTCCTTTTGTTACAAACCATCTACCTTTACATTTCCAACCCTCACAGTCAGTCCTCATAGCAATTATTCACTATTGTACCACAAAAGATCTATCCACATCTCCTTTCATCAGCCCTGCCCAGACAGATTGGATCAGTGGGGATTCTACCTTCCTCCGGCAGTGCCCTCTGGATCTAGGCTCCCTCTTGAAAGCTTGTAATCCAGTTACTTCTTGCCTGTGTAGCCTGCCCACCCTCACCCCCCACCCCCATTGTAGCCAATGTCCAAGTTGCCCATCCCTGAGTATGGAGGGGGTGGGAATGATCTTCGTTGTAAAGATTTGTTGCCTCTTTTGAGCTACTACATCCATAGGTATAGGTACATCTTCAGTTTTCATCACTCTCCTTTCTTCTGCACATGGAGAGATCAATAGTTACCTGTTAAATGGCCCTTAGAAGACTGAAAATTTGGTTTGTTGGGAATAATGCATATTAACATAACTATTGATAGAAAGTAGGATTTACTTTGGCTGACTAGTTGTCTTAACCATTGATTGCCTTGTCTTTTTTTTTTTTTTTCAATTCATGTATTAAATCAGTGAAGACCAAGCATACCAAAGGTATTTTAGTACTGGGTCATTTTGGACCACTGTGTACTTAATGCTCTTCCTCAAAGTGGCATTGATGTTGCCTTATGGGTGATAGCCCCTGTGGTCTTCAGGTCACTAGTATATGGCCTGAGTGAAGTAGGGTTGTCAATTCAGTCAATTCAACTGAAGTGTCCCTGTTTGCTCTTCTTCTGCAGTGACAGAAACAGTCCTTGCTGTAAAAACTGCCAGTTTGAGACTGCCCAGAAGAAGTGCCAAGAGGCTATTAATGCTACTTGCAAAGGCGTGTCTTACTGCACAGGTATGTGCTCTTGCTGGTTTTCTTGGAATTCTTTTACTCGTGTGTATGTGTGTGTGTTTTCACTTGAAAGCCATTCTTTTCAGCCTCATGTGCAGAGTTGAGTTGACCATACTCCGTCTGTGCTATACCGTTGTCATTGGTGTGGGCAAAATCTCTTTATTATTTTCCTCCTTTTGGTTTTTAATTATGTTTCACTTTTTTCCTATCACTCTAGTCTTTTCTTCATAAACATCCATTCTAATGTGTTTAATATTTGCCTTGGGTACATTAAAAGGACTACAGTATCTTTGCAAGGTATTGCAGTGTTCTTTGAATATATGTGTTTTTAATGTACCAAAATGGCACTCTACCTTGTGTGCTGTCGAGCGACCCTGTGTAGTGTTTCTGCAGAGCGGCTGGTGGATTTGAACTTCCGGCTATGCAAACCGACCTTGTGTGGTCCAGTTTTTATCCTCTAGCAGGACTCCTTTGTGATAATGTTGTTAAGTGCCGTGGAGTCGGTTCTGACTCATAGCGACCCTATACAGGGTTTCCATGGCTGTAAATCTTTACGGGAGCAGAAAGCCTTATCTTTCTCCTGCGAAACAGCTGGTAGTTTCGAACTGCTGACGTGGTTCGCAGCCCAATTTGTAACCACTGCGCTACCAGAGCTCCTTTTCTTGATAATAGTACATGTGTATTATGTTTTGTTATATCACAATAGTGTGTGCTGTCAAATCCCGTCTGATTCACTTTTACCCGGTGTAAGAGTGGTACTTTCCAATGGGACATCCTAAGCTGACAGCCAAGTATTTATCCCTCAGAGCCTCTGGTGGGTTAAAACCTCCAACCTTTCAGTTAGTATCTGAGTGCTTAACCATTGTACTGTGAAGGCTCTTGTATCAAAATAGAAAGTAAAAGAAAAGTACAGTAAAATCGTGACTGTGAGATTTGGACATGAAGCCTGGGAATCTAGACATGTGGGCCACTTATGAAGGCCCATGGCTAGGTACTCACTAAATGCTTGTTGGCCGGCTGCTTACAGGTGGCTAGCCTTGCTCTGTTCACTGGGCAGATGTGCACTTCTTCTATGAGAAACAGTGTATCATGCAGACCTAGCACCAGCTCACATGGAACTCCATGTGTCTCTTCACTGTGTGCTTCCAGGTAATAGCAGTGAATGCCCTCCTCCTGGAAACGCTGAAGATGACACGGTGTGCTTGGATCTTGGGAAGTGTAAAGATGGGAAGTGTATTCCCTTCTGTGAGCGGGAGCAGAAACTGGAGTCCTGTGCATGTAACGGTGAGCACATTTTCATATTTTGGGTCCTTGAAGGAGCAAAGATGGCATTTATTTACCAGGCCTATCCCACCATTTGGATGCCTGACCCTGTTGGCCCACACGTTGCTGGTCAGGGCAGTGTGTACAGACAAGACTTCTCTGGATTCAGATCCTGGTCGCCTGTGAAAATTCAACTGTCTTTCCTTTTGCTACATTTTCAGGACTGTGGCAGGTTTTGAGATGGGATAGGAGGGAATTTGGGCCTTGGAGGTGGGATAGGAGGGTATTTTGTTATGAATGGTCTGTCTGTCTTATCCCGGCCCTTCCCATTTCAAGCATACGATGAAAGCAGTAGTAGCTGCCTGTGTTTTATTGATAGTGAACAATGGTACTCCCTTAAGAATTTAACTAGAGAGCTGATTCTAGCATCTGGTCTGCACACTGTAGGAAGGTTTTCTCCTTGTCAGCAGGGGTGGACCTGTCCCCTCTGATTCTTGCCAGCAAAGCCTGTCTTAATGACAGCATCGTGCTGGCCTCTAAAACAGTTTCCGTATGTTTTGACTTTCTTTTTGAAGCCATAGGGTTTCTAAGAGTCAGACTTGATTCAGTGGCAATGAATTTGATTTTTGATATGGCTTAGGGTCTGAGGAAAGACCTCAGGGATTTATGAGGGACTGGTTAGACTCTGGGCTTTGCACTTCAATCTGCAGCATCCCAGTTGATGAAACAGCTCTGCATCTTTCCAACGTAAGACAAGCAAAGAACCAAGGGACTGAAAACCATTGGGTCAGGAATTCACCATCTATAGAATGGAGAGTTCGTGGCTCTTCCTAGTGGAATACATATAAAGAAAGAAGATGACACACAATTGATGAAGTCAGTAATTCACTGAGTGAACAGTAAGAGACATGAGGTGGCCTGAAAAACAGTGCCTGACACAGTAAATACCGAATAAATACTTGATGAAAGGGCGAATTAAGGAAAGGATTTTGTGTCTCAGGCTGGCTTCTTTATAGAAGCAAAACAAGTGAGAGTTATGTATGTATATATTCTTGTTAAGTGCCTTCGAGTTGGTTCCAACTCACAGCAACCCTGTATAGGGGTTCTGAGGAACAGCTGGTGTGCTTGAACTGCTGACTTGTGTTTCACAGTCCAGTGCTGATCCTACAGCACCACACCAGGAGTCCACATATTTGTATGTACAGATATATTTATATCAAGAGAATGGCTCATGCAGTTGTAGAGGCAGCCAAGTTCCAAGTCTATGGGTCAGATGTCAGGCTGGAGGCTTCTCCTGATTCATATAGCTGCAGGGGCTGATGAACCCAAGATTGGCAGTTCGGACAGCAGGCTCTGACTGCCAAGAAGAATGAATCCAAGGTTGGTGGGTAAGATGACAGGATGCTGACACTACTTAGCATCAGCAGGCAGTATGGCAAGCTGCTGGCTTAAGTTCAAAGAGACACAGAGGTCAAATGATGAGCCAGGTGCAGGATCTAGATGCAGGAACTAGATCCAACAAAAAGCAAACAAGCTTTGCTAGAGTGTCCACATATATTATAAGCAGGTCACACCCCTGAGGAAACTCCTGTTCAGTTAACTGGCTGCTCACAGCAAAAGCCATCATGGGTATTGATTGCATGGTAGTTGCCAAACCACTGAGAATCATGGTCCAACCAAGTTGATGCACAGCATTAACTGTCACAAGTTTTTGTCTTGTTTTTATGTCTAGCTGATTTCTATTTCTTGACAGTCACTGTAAATACTAACATTATCTGAGATCAAGTAAATACTGTTCCATGTATTACACTACTGGTTCCTAGTTTTAATATTTCAACATTTCTGCCTTTTACATGTATGCCCAAATGGCTCAGTTGTTTTACTTGGATTCCCATGTGCTGTATGAAGTCGGGGCTCAGGTTGCCTGCATAGGACAGTCTGCTATGACAGCATCATTAGCTCCCACTAGTCACTGGCTCTTCAGGAGGCACTGCGAACTGAGAAGCTTGGGATTTAAATCAGCAGTGTAGTAAAAATGTTGGGACAAATGGAAACCTTTTAGAAGAGCATTATGAAGGATCTGAAGTAGGAAAATTTGACTTTTAAGAGAAGCTTTTAATCTATCAAAGAAAGGAGATTTTCTCCATATTTTGTTAACTTCGTGTGAACTCTGGAATTATCCCTGTGGGGTGAAGTATAGACAGTGACAGCTTTTGAATTAAAAGCAGAATCTGATGTCTTTCCTTTCTGGGGGCATGATCAAAGAAGGAAGAGGAGGAAGGAGGGAGTTATGTCTAAGAAACTCCAGCTGTTGGCATTTATTCTGTTTTAGAGACTGACAACTCATGTAAGGTGTGCTGTCGGGATCACTCTGGCCGGTGTATGCCCTACGTCGATGCTGAACAGAAGAACTTATTTTTGAGGAAAGGAAAGCCCTGCACAGTAGGATTTTGTGACATGAATGTGAGTATGTATTTAGTTACTAAGGTACAGCCCTTTCTGTAGTAACTAGACTGGTGTTATATTTTATTTTTAAAATGGGAAGAAATCGAAGTACACATATATTGCTACATCTATGTAACTCAGTCTTTATATGAAAAAATATTTTTATTTAAGTATGCCTGAGTATAGAAAAGGAACAGGCCCAGTGCTTTCAGCTAACTCCAGGGCTGGAGACTGAGTGCATCAGCAGGAAGGGCCTTTGCTGGTACTTTTTGAAAAGTTATTTGTAGGCAGTGAGTCCCAGGTATCTGTTATTTTACTAGGATAACTATAAAGTTGACTAAGATCCATGTTATGATTTTGAAACCAGGTACTAAATGACTAAGAGAGCTAGAAGGCTGGTTGAACCACCTAAGTGAGATCTTTTTGTTTGCTATAGAAACATACTTTGTTAAAAAAAAAAAAAAAAAGTATAGAGAAAAGTTCCTTTGGGGGAGTGTCTTTTTTTTCTTTTTGGTGAATTGAGTGAAAGTTTACAGATAAGATCGTCAGTTTTACATTCAACAAATGATATACTTTGTTTCATCTCAATAATTACATTCCCCTCTAAACAACAAGTTATCCTGCTTACTTCTTGTGGTTACTGTTACCATTCCACCCACCTTCCCATCCCTTCTCAACTTTATCCTTAGGTAAATGTTGCCCTTTTGATTTTGAATGATTGACTTTCCATGGATAGCATTATCTTACTAGTGTTGTCTCCCCCATATACCTATCTACTGCTTGGCTGAAAATTGGGCCATGAGGGCAAGTTCCTTTCCAGACCTGAAGGTAGTTGAGGGCTGGCCATCGTCTCAGGTTCCTCCACTCTCTCTGACCAGTAAACCTGGTCTTTTAAAATAATTTTGAGTTTCGTTCCACATTTTCTCCTTTACTCTCTGGGGCTTTCTAATGAGATCTCTTTCAGAACAGTTGGTAGTAGTAGTATAGTAGCCGGGCACCATCTAGGTCTTCTGGTCTCAGAGTTGTGGAGACTGATGTTCACATGTTCCTTTAGTCCATTGGACTAATTGATTTCAAGCATTTTCAGTTCTTACCACTCTTCATCTTTCCCACATGGAGAGACCAATAGCTGCACCTGAGATGGCCACCAGGCTTTGCTGTTTCCTGTCCACGCTGTGTGTGTGTTATCAATATTGTTTTTGCTGGAATGTCTTATCTTTATTTTTTCTTGAGTTTTTGTCTCATGGTAACTATATACTCACTTATAAAAATTGACTAATTGTGAAAATGCCGTTTTGACAGTATATCCTACTTTCGTACTGTAAAAAGTTGTACCAGCTGCTCCTCCAACAGCGCCCTCTAACTCAGCTGGGTTCAATAATTCACCATAGTGGCCACACAGACCTCAGACACCATACGCACAGTTAGGGGCTTTATTCATGTAGTTAACAGGATACAATTCAGGGTCAGAAATGTCGCGGCACAGTTCTTCCAGCCAGGACACACTCTCAGCTGTGCCCATGGGCAGGCTATCCCTGCCCAGACAATGTTACAGTGTTCTTTTAGGGTTACTGATAAATGTTCACAGGGCACACCACTTCATTGGAAGCTTCAGCCTGGAGACACTTGATTCTACCTCCTCAGTTAAGTGACTAGAGGCATACCATTCTGCAAGCAAGCAAACGGCTGAAAGTCACAGCTTTACTTGCTCCATGGATTGGGAGGCTGACTGCTGTCTCATATTCTGGCTCTTGTTTTTGCTGCGTCTCTGCCTGCCCTCTAGTATTATGTCTTTCTGTCCCTGGGTCAAGGAGAAGTGCAGGAATCTTGAGGTCCAAAGGACATGCTCCATTTCTGACTCTTCCCTGTTGCTTGCTTCTGAGCTGTCTAATTTTGTATCCAAACTATAGGTCCAAGATTTTATACAGAAAGTAGCCCTGGTAAGAGTCACTCACAACTGAATCATAGCATCCTTTCATAATCTTCTCCCAGCTTCTCTTACCCAGACCCAGCAGGAAACAGTCATTTGATGGGAGTTTGCAAAGACAACAGCTATTAGTGACGTTAAATAATTCACTACACCACTCTTAGGTACCCATTACACTTAAAAATTATTTCCTAGTGTCAAAGATGGTCCCAAATGTTTTGATTTTTATGAAGTTCTTAATATGTAAGTTAAGCTTACAAAGTCAGATTACTTCTAAATACATTGTTTATTTTCTTTTCATAGGGCAAATGTGAGAAACGCGTACAGGATGTAATTGAACGATTTTGGGATTTCATTGACCAACTTAGCATTAATACTTTTGGTAGGTAAATTCACTACCTTTACCTAAAACTGAGCTAATGTAATTTCTTTGATAACATCAGAAAAGTGTGGATTCAGGGTGATATGCTCTAATCCTGTAATAGAAGATAAAAATACTTACAACTTTTGTTATAAGCAGACTCGTTGAGTTCTTGTGTAGCTTGGATGTACAGATTTTCAGACATATGCATAGTTCATTCCCATAGATTTTAAGTCTGAATCCTGTTTGAGTCATTTATCTTAAAGTTGGAGTCCTGTTGTGGCACTGTAGAATAAGCACTGGACTGAAAAGTTGGTTTGAGCTGCAAGGTCGGTGGTTCAAATCTACCAGCTGCTCCTCAGAAACTCTATACAGAGTCATTATGAGTTAGAACCGACTCAACAGCACTAAAGAACAACACTTTTAAAGTTGTTCCTCATATATCTGCAAAAGCAAGGATTTTTATGTCTTTTACAGTCCATCATTTAGAATTTAGTCACAAAAATACCTAGTTAACAAAAGCTTTGTCTTCTTAAGCAGTCGTTATCAGAAGTCATCTTCCTTGTTAGAGTCTACTGACACATTCGCTCCCAGGAATATGTGAAACAGTTTGTAGTCTAGCCTTCTTAACAAATCTATGAGGGTGATGTCTGTTAGACACTTGTTGGCTTGGAGAGGTGGTCAGCTCCAATCTAGGTGCCATTTACAGGATTCCCAGCGCTGTGTCACTAGTGTCATCTAGCCGACATTTAACACAGTGTAACGCACTCTCAGAGCATTTAGGGATTTGTAAAGCACTTGACTGACACATTTGATGTTTGCATTTGTTCACAGGGAAGTTTTTAGCAGACAACATCGTAGGTTCAGTCCTGGTTTTCTCCCTGATATTTTGGATTCCTTTCAGCATTCTAGTTCACTGTGTGGTAAGTCACAATTTTTAAGCAATTAAACATTTTACTAAATTTTAAGCAGCTCTGTCCATAATATGGTAACGGTTGAACTGATGTATGTTTTTTCAAACATCCATACAGTCTTTCAAAAAGATTTAATTTGTTTTTAGCACAATCTAACCTTGATGTATCCAGCGACTTTGTTTTGGTGCCTTTCTTAGGAAAACGTTATTTTTAAAAAACTTAGCTTAGTCATTTTAAAAAGCTACATATTTTGTAGATACTTTATCCTAACATACACTTTTTGAGGAATTTTTTTATGTAGCGCTGAGGGTTAATGTGCTAGACTGCAAGGTCAGTTTAAACTGCAAGGTTGATGGTTCAAACTTACCAAGTCACTCCTCAGAAACCCATATGGGGTCTCTATGAGTCAGAAATGACTCAGTGGCACTTAACAAGTGTGGCACTGTAGGGTAACTGGACTGCTAACTGCAAGGCTGGTGGCTCAAACCCACTAGCTACTCCTTGGAAACCCTATATAGAGTCGCTGTGAGTCAAAACTGACTCCATGGCACAGAAGACCTATTTAACAAGCACAGAAGACATATTTAACTGGACTTTGGTTGGTCCTGTATTTGTTAAAATCAAGCAAATGTCAAGCATCATCATAGATTCTTGGCATTACTGTACAGGGTACTCATATCCTCCAGTTGATGGTATATCTTTCAACTTTGTTCCAAATGAGTAACAACTACAAGTGGAATGGGGCTTTGAGGAGCTTCAGGCCCTTTAAAATTTTTCTTACGTATACATTCACCTTCTTTTTATGCATCAATGGGGATAAGTCTCTGCTAAAGATGAAGAAATCAGCCCTAGGCTTCTAGACTTGTATTCTAAAATGCTATTACAGTGCCCCTCCTATGAGCAACTAAAAAATTCAAATCCACCTAATTCTGATGACAAGAACTTTTGAAATGCCATCTGCATCCTTTCTTCCTTCCCTTGGTCTTCTCTTGCACTGGCCCTCTCGCTGAGCACCTCCCTCTCAGAGTGCTAAGCAGGATGGGGGAGGAGAGGAAGTCTTGATGAAGTGCCTATCCCTGCTAAAACCAAGTGTTGAAAGGTGACAGACCATCCATTATGATGCTCTTCCCTGGGAGTGGCACCAACTTGGTTTACAGTGCAAATTGCACTTGTGGGATATGCAGCATAATGCTGGATTTCAGGGTGACAGACACATGGAAGGGTAGTTACTTCTCATGAAATGCTGAGGCTGTGATTTTTGGGGTTGGCTTCCTGCTTTTTACCCTGTGTCACCTAGTACACTTCAGCCACCAGCCTGGATCAGGGCAGTGTTGGTCACATGTGTACAGCTTTCTGGAGACCGTTCCTGCAGTAGAAACCTCCCCACCACAGGTCTGGTCCACAGAAGCTATGAAATGGCTGAGAAGAGTGTGTGGTCTGGTGGGCTGGGCAGGGAGGTACATGCTGAGCCTGCCTGCCACTATCCTGACCTGATCACTCAACAGTCTTCCAACCACAGAGCGAAAACTTCTGAAATACCGTTCTCTCTGAACTTTTGCCAAAAACTATTCAGATTGGTGGCAGAATTTACTGAAGAAACTCATTCTCATTTACTGAATCTGTTTCTACTTTCTACAACTCAAGTTCTGAGGTCCTTATTTAATATTATGAGTTGTTGTCACCTGTAAGAAATAGCTTATTAACTGAATTTATTTTTAGGAATGACCTTTTCCTCTTTCTTTCTTTCTAGGATAAGAAATTGGATAAGCAGTATGAATCTCTGTCTCTGTTTCACCCTAGTGTAAGTATCCCACCTGAAAAAAAAAAAGTTCAGTTGCACTTTAAGACCTTCTTAAGCAGAGTGGTGTGGTGCTGTAGGATAAAACACTCAACCTCAAAGCTGATTGATGGTTCAAACTCACCAGCTGCTGTTGCTCGGAAACCCTATACAGGGTCGCTGAGTTGGAACTGACTCCAAGGCACTACTAAACAATAGCCTTCAGTGGGGCCACCCTGCAGGAGGCCTCAGCCTGTCCCTCGGCTCCTTCTGTTAGGAGATATGGGTGGTGTGTTCATGTCCTCCTCTTGAAACAGCAACAGTGAACTTCTGGTTGTTCACCATTCTGGTTGTATGGACAGAGATTTAGGAAGGGGAGTGCTGTCACATCCCTCCTCCTCAGTCACAGGAATGTGATTCAGCTATTTAGCACTAAATTAGTGAATATTTGAAACCTCTTCCTGTCTTGGGATCTTAATTTGATAGACTTGTTTCCTGAGTTCTCTTTGAGGTCTCAGAATGGTAGAATGTAACACTGGAAATTATTTTAATTAAAATTACCTCTGTGACTGAGCATCCTCTCACTCAGCCTCAGGGACTGCAGTGTGGACAATGGAAAAGTAGTTTGGTTGGTAAGACTGAAATTGTGAATTGTGAATTTGATTCATCTTCTGTGATATCAAGTAAACCCATGTCTTTTCAGAATGTGGAAATGCTAAGCAGCATGGACTCAGCATCGGTTCGTATTATTAAACCATTCCCTGCGCCCCAGACCCCTGGGCGCCTCCAGTCCTTACAGCCCACCCCAGTGATGCCTCCAGTGCCGGTGGCTCCGAAACTAGACCACCAGAGGATGGACACCATCCAGGAAGACCCCAGCACCGACTCACACATTGATGAAGATGCGTTTGAGGACCCTTTTCCAAATAGCTCAGCTGCGAAGTCTTTTGAAGACCTCACGGACCATCCCGTCACCAGAAGTGAGAAAGCTTCCTCCTTTAAACTGCAGCGTCAGAATCGTGTTGACAGTAAAGAAACAGAGTGCTAGTTTAGGAACTTATTTTCTGTGCAATTTGATCAAAGTGTGCAAAGTATTTTTATAGATTTGATCTAAAATCACTGCATATATTTTGTAAAGATGGAAGAAAGAAGGAAGTGACTTAACAGCAGATGCTGGTCATGTGTTTGAACTTCCTCTCCATAAATAATAGTGCGTGGTTAGGCCTTTTTCCTTTTAAAGAGGTAAGGTGAATCTAGCTTATTTTGAGCCGTTCAGGTTTTAGTTTTCTGATCTCTAAAATAGCCTTCAACCTGTGGTGCAAAAGTAGGAAATACAGCTGGATTAGGTTATGAATATTTACATTTTTGTAAATTAACTTTTTATATTGATAACAGCACTGATTAGTGGGATGATTAACTATTTTTCTTTTTTATACACTGTAATAATGATCCGCTGAATATAATGAGGTATTTAGCAGTTATTTGTGAAAACTGGAACACAGAAGAAGCTTCTTTTTTTGCCTTCAAGTGAAGGCAAAGGCTTGAAATGAAACCCAAATATGGGTTCTGTTTCTAAGTTTTTAGCCAGTGCTTTCAGTAGAAGGAGGCGGAGCATTACACATCTCAATTTACAAATAATTTGTTTTAATGTCTTCATAATTCTATTAGTGTGTTCTAAAAGTAAAATAATCTAGCTTATAGCGAGGGTTACAAATATTAGCCAACTGAATTTACAGAATCTTGCCATGGTTTAGGGCTTCAATTTGCCAGACATTTTTTCCTGTTTGTAAGTATTTTCTTGTATCCCTAGCACTGTGGCCATGCTCTTAAAATTTACCAGCTACTTCAAAGTTAGATAGAATCTGGTTGTCTGTTTTCAGACTGTGGACAAGAGGGAGTAAAGTGTTCCTCACCACACGAACAGGGGTGATCTTGGATGAGTAAGGTGTGCTGGTCCCATGAAGCTAAGGCGTATCCTACCAACTGGTACTTCACATACCTTATTTATTGACCCACCCTTTACTTTGCAGCATTATTTCTTGTTTGGGGCTCCAGGATTCTGGATGGTTTGTACTTACTTCATGAAGAATAAAAGCCACCAGATTGAATTCACATTTCCATAAAATCATAGTTTTCTTAAAGTACTGAAATGTACTCAGCAGCCAACACATTTTAACTGAGTAGCTTGTAAACTTTGAGGGCAGTTAACCAAACCTGTGACAAATCATGTCTTTTTTTCCCGTAAGGACGTTTGTTACGAGGATATTTGTTACACTAATACTTGAACTTGTGCCTTTATGGTATTTGCTATCTTGTAACTATTCATAATATTCTTATATTTTAGTTACACTTTTGGAATTTGATATAAGGTGAGTGGGGTGTGTGGGTATATGTATGAAACAGTTCCCAGCAGAATGTACGAAACCCAGTTTTTATAAAATTGTATTTTTAAAAAACAAAGCTGTCTCTACCCTTTTTGCCATTTATAGATTAAGCAGCTGCTCCAGGTCTGTTTTATGGCAGTGACACTGATGATACTGCATCAATCAATCAATACTTACAATGATCAAAACATAATGTACACAAGTACAAAGCTTCCCTGATCAATCTTAATGCTTTTAATTAATACTGGTGGCAAGTGTGAATGTTTTTTGGTACACAGTCATAAAAAATTTAAGCTTGAAAAAAAAGTATTTTTGATTACCTTAGAATGTTTGTGCACTGGCAATTTCACATTCTGGAAATAAACAACCTTTCTTGAGTTTCTGTGATGAACTAATGATCGCCATCTCCCAGAAGACTTAGTTCAGGTTTTGCTTCTGCTACATCTCGCCAATAAGGAAGAAGCAAAGGCAGGGAAGAGATCTTCTTCTCCAACAAAGGCCAAAGATGTGAGAAGAGAAATTCATTTCCCTTTGGTGATAAATGTAGTCCATCAGATAAATAGGATGAGAAGTCCTGTAAGGAGAGAGAACTAAATTAAAGATGTCATTTGTTAAACACCAGTGAGCACTACTCCAGCTGTGTTCCAGCCTAGAAGAGTCCCCAGCCCCTTTGGTTTCACACACAGGAGGAGCATCTGTGTTCTGACATACACCATCTCACCAAGACAGAGTATGATCTCTTAGAGATCTGAGGTTCATAACCTCACACACCATTAAGGGTCTGACGTTCTAAGTCTTTTTTGAATCATACATGGTTATTAGATTATCTGACATCCAAAAATGGTAGTATAACTTTCTAACAGATTATAATTTTTTCCCACTACAAATGTACAGAAAGTATGTACAAGAAATAGCTGGGTCCTTGAAAAGATGGAGAACTTTTTTTTTTTTTAATTAAAAAAAAAAAAAAAAAAAAGGATTTAGGGGAGAGGAAAGAGTTGTCCCATACTTGAGTGATTCATGGTTATTCTCTGTCTTCCTTTACCTCTGGTTATTGGCCAAATGGCCCAGCTGTGAATGAGGAAATTGAGGTGGGGCTGTGGTCTTCCCTTTTCTTGAAAGAGCTTCCTACACAAAATATCCCCTCTTCCCACTGAGCAAGTTCAAACGACAATCTCCCCCATAGGTTTCTCTCTGGGACTCAGCATAGCAATACAGTGGGTCCTGTAGAACAGTCACTTTTCTAGAGTGAAAAGCAGCAGAAAAACTGAAAGGAGAAAACTCTGCTGCCTGTTCCTAAGCCATCCATCTGTATCTATGAGGAATCTAAATATCCATATATATCAGCAATAAAGGAACCACCTTTAGAAATTTTTTAAATGAACATACAGTAAAATTCATTTTTGACTATATTATTGTTAAGTGCCGTGGAGTCGATTCCGACCCATAGCAACCCTGTATAGGGTTTCCAAGGAACAACTGGTGAGCTTGAACCATTGACCCTGAGGTTCAGAATGACCTTGCAGTACAGCGAATTAACCCACAGCACCACACCAGGACTCCAATTAAAACTACAGACCTCAAAATCCTAATTTTATTACCTTAATACCATAAGCACTGGGCTACTAACTGAACTGAAAGGTTGGAGGTGTTCCAATCCATCAGCTGCTCTCTGGGAAAAGGATAAGGCAGTCTGCTTCTGTATAGATTACAGACTTGGAAAACCATCCGGGGCAGTGCTACTCTTACAGGGTTGCTATGAGTTAGAATCAACTTGACTTCATGGCAGTGAGTTTAATACCATATTCATTATTTTGTCTGTTAACGAGTTTTAACTTCACTCTATATATAAAAGAACTTGATGGTCCTTAAACATGAACTATATGTTTCTCATTTATTTCACTAGTTAATTACCTAATAACGCCTACCTGTACAAGGTATTCCCACATTATAATGCAAACTGCTCAAAGAAAGCCAAGTAAGGAACTGGGTTTCTGAATAGTTCTGTAGCCTCACATGCCTGTCCCAACTTCTGTGTGGGCTGGTGAAGGACTGCTGTATCTTAGCAGAACCAGAGTTGTTCTAGGAAAGCTGCACACACCTGGCTACCTTCACTGTGACCCTGCTCACTCTATACGTGAGCAACTCATTGTACCTGACTGTCCTCCTGCATCAGGGTCCACAGGTCAAGCACATCAGTCCCGCAGGCTTGGGCTACTTGTAAACAGGCCTTTGCATATTCACCAACAACCAAGTTCAGACGATTTAATTTGCAACCTGTTGAGAAAAGAAAAAAATCCCGGTGGCATAGCAGTTGGCGGCCCGAAGCACTGGTCCTTGTGCTAGTTGTGCTGACCTGGATGGTTCCTAAGTTCCATTAAACTGGATCTCATCCTGGACCGACTATGGACTTGAACACAAAAATGAAAAAGACACTGTTCCCACCCTTTAGTCTTACAGGTTGCTAATAATAAGTACTGCTTGACCAGGCAGAGGACAAAGCAGAGTCGGGGAACAGATGGAGCAGAAGTTAAAACTGAGGCCTGAGACGCCTGGCGGATGGGCCAAGGTAGTAGGGAGTTTGCTCTGCTTGAGTGCAGGCCAGAGGTGAATGGAAGTGGGCATCTACCACAGGGTGTCTGATGGATACTTAGTGCAGGCTGCCTCCCCCTCCAAGTCTTAGCGGGGCTGCCTCCCCCTCCAAGTCTTAGCGGGGTGTGGGTGGAGTGCTGCATTTGGAGACTGAGCGAGGCCATGTGGAAGGAGGGCAGGCAGGGCAATGAGAGCCAGTGGAAAGGAGGAATTGGGTGAATGGGATATCTAAGAGGACAAACTCAGGTCTTAGCAAAGGTATACAAGGGATAAAGGAAGACTACCTAAGATGGCACATTTCATGTCTGAGAAAAACAGTAAATTCTAATCTCGCTTTGATTCCTACATTGTGATTAATTGTCTATGGAATTCAGATGATAGTTACCTAACTTTCAGGGAACTGATTATCTTGATGAGACCCACCTGCTTTTGCTCATCTCTTGCCTCCTTTAAATTTACACTGGATTACATTTAAGAGCAGAAAGTGGAAATGAGATTAAAAATACAAATTATCATACATTCTTTTGAGAACATAGGCTATTTGTGTGAGCTGGGAAACAATACACACAGAGTTTAAACAGCTTCTGTTGAGGCTAAGAATAATGCTATTCAAGTCCTAACTATGGCTGGAGGGACAGAACAAAGCTGAGGAGGCAGGAGCCACCGCACACAGCTCTCCACCATGCTTCCTGAGCCAGGATGGAGCCTCAGGGTCACTGCCCATGCCCACGCTTGGCTTTCCTCTAATATCACAGTTACTCCTCCTCACTGTCTGCACCTCTGGCAATGCCTCTTGACATTTGCTGTTTGCTACCTGAGAATGTGTTGGCCTCCCATCAAGCACCACAGACCCTCTGAGAGCAGGAGCACTGCTGGAACTCAGGTGACAGGCGGTATTGTGGATATTGTGTAACAGTAAATTCTGGAGCTCTGAAGTTTGACCACTTGGATTTGATTCACTGCTGTGTGATCTTGGGTATGTTAGCTTGGCTAAGACTACTTCTCCATCTATAAAATGGGGCTGTAATAGTGTTCACGTAAGACTGGTGTGTGCATAAGAAACACAGTGGGGAAAAAACATAATTAACTAGAATCCTTCTTCAAATGGGCCTAGAAATCAACCTAAACGGATAGCTTGTGCTGAGTCAGGTCATGCTCTAAGAAAACAGCTGTCCTGCAACACAGCCATTTGTCATAGAATAACTTGGGTTTTATGAATTTAGACATGCTTTTTATGGAAAATTCAATATTGTATCATGCATTGTTTAACTCATTCATGTAAATGTCAGCATAAGAAAACCATTAAGTTCAAGTGACAGAAGAATGTACTTAAAGAAAAATAAACTTTACCATTACACCTTCTCTCCAAGTGCCAAAAAACAGGCAAAGAGAAGAATTTGAATACATTCTCCTATGAGAGCCCAAGAAATTTGGAAGCAGAAAATTTTGGTTGATAAGATTGGGCAGTTGTCTCTGGACAACTCCAGTTATATTTGAGATAAAGACCTAAACTCTAAACTGGCTATGAGCATGTAACAGGTGGGTGACCTAAAAATACCTTCCAAGAAAATGAAACACCAGCTGAGATGTATCATTTGGCTAAGTTGGAAGAAACAGACTCAGTGTCTTGGAATTTGCTTCTGAATTTGTATTTTCCCCATTTACTTTGTACATAAGGATTAATACAGAATAATAATTAAAAAAAACAAACTGGCAAGTAATGTTAACATTTGGTGAACCATGGCATACACACTAGCTAAATTGCTTTTATTATCTATTAGCTATCTCCCTCACTAGCACAACAAGCAGGAACTGTGATCCAGTCACCCGCCTCTCTCCAGTACCTGGCCCAGCATGCAAAGTTGGATAACCAGTTTGTAAGGGACCCTGGGATGTAGTGGATTCGCCTTTCAGTCATTCTGTAAGAAAAAGTTGAGGCAATCTGCTGTAAAGATTTAAAGCCTTGGGAAACCTATGGGCAGTTCTACTCTGTCATATAGGGCTGCTCTGAGCTGACCTTCTGTTGTTCATTAAGGTTACCATAAGTCAGACCGACTGGCTGGCAACTAAACAGACCCTGAGGCCCACAGGCTGGGAACCACAGTTACATCAAAATTATGCTCTGAGCATTGACATCCAAGTTTCACAGACTGCAGTTTAGTTTTGTTTACCTTGTAAGATGCACTCCTTTTCCCAAGCTGTTTCACAAAGGGGAGGTGGTGTAATGAGGATAATTCTATTCTCATGGATGTCCACAGACTTCAAGTACTGCACCATACTCTTTAAATTCGCAGCATACTCCTCCAGTGGGATGTGTTGCTTAGGATTCTCATCTGTTCAGAAACAACAGCAAAACTTCAGTCTAAATACATACTTGTTATAAGTTAACAACACTTAAGAATAATATACTTTTAAGGAGCTCTGGTAGCATAGCGGTTACGAATCGGGCTGTGAACCTTAAGGTCAGCGGTTTGAAACTACCAGCTGCTCCGCAGGAGAAAGAGCAGGCTTTCTACTCCCGTAAAGATTTACACCCTCGGAAACCCTGACAGGGTCGCTATGGACCGAAACCGACTCGACGGCACTTAACAACAACAACCACCACAAATGTGTGTGGCTCTTTTTTTTTTTTGCTAAGTGCCATCAAATCATTCTAACTCACAGTGACCTTGTATAGGGTTTCTGAGCAACAGCTGGTGGGTGTGAACCACAGACCTCCTGGTCAGCAGTCCAGTGCTTATCCCATAGCACCACACCAGGACTCTGTGACTTACGAGGTCCCTGGAAAATTGCTTAGCTTCAAGGACAGAAAAAAAAGGAGGCAACAGATTTAAAGTATCCCGTGCCAGTAAAGAGGGGAAGGATTTAAAATATCCAGTGCTTCGTAAAACAGACTTTAGCGAGTCTCGTCTTTTCGCCATTGGTGGCCATGTTATTATCAATCCATTAAATTGAATCTGTAAAAAAGTAAGAAGCCTTGCTGTGAAGTGAAACTGTCCAGATTCAAACCTTGACCTTCTTGATTATCCTTCTTGATAATCTTGGAAAAATAGCTAACCTTTCTGCAGTTCAGTTTCTACACTGGTGAAATTAGGGTAATAATAATGTCTACATCGGAGTCCTGGTGGGCTCCATAGGGTGAGCACTGGACCGCAAGGTTGGTTTAAGCCCCAAAATTGGTGGTTCAAACTCACAAGCCATTCCTCAGAAACCCTATACACAGTCACTATGAGTCAGAACCAATTCGATGGCACTTAACAATACATAGTTTGTTTTATATGCCACTTTGTTGCTTCCCTAAAACATGATCTTGAGATATTTGCATTTTCTTGATAAATGAAGTTTATACTTTACATACATTTTTGAACTTGTATTGGCATAAATTCATCTTTACGAATTACTTGTTTCTGTCCCTAACCCATTTTTCTATTGGAGTTAGTATTTTTCTTACTGAATTTCTACATTAAAGAAACTGATCTTTTGTCTGGCATATTTTTTTTTTTTTTTTTTATTGTGAATTGAGTGACAGTTTACACGGGAGGAAATGAAATCTTCATTTCATTGCAATGATTGCACTCCCCTCCATGCATAATCACTCAACAGTAATTGTTTCTATTCCCTCTATTTTCTTTGGGGGGGAGGGATGTACACAAAAACACTCAGGAATATGTAATAATTTAAACAATCAAAAGGCACATTCTGCAAGCCTGCCTCCTGGCCACCAGCACCTAGCCACTAGCACAGCCTTTCTCTTTGTATGAGTCTACAGCCCTCAGCTGCTCTATTTCTCCATGTCCTCATTTCTGTCTCCCTCTCTGGTGTCGCTGCTTTTCTGGATAGAGTCCTGCATTCTGTTCGTGCTCTTCTTCCTTGATGGTCCTAGGGTTCTCTGTTCCTGGACTGTAAGATTAACTACTCCACGCTTTTTGTTACAAAACTACTACCTTTAGTTTTGACAGTTGCAATTAGTTGTAACAGTTACTATTGAATCATAAGAATCTTATCTCCCATCTCTTTTTACCAGACCCATCGAGACAAGAGGAATACTATTCAGTGGGGAGTCTATCTTTCCCCCCTCTCCCCGCATATTCTGAAACTAAACTCCCTCTTGGAAACCTGTAAGCCAGTCACTTCGTGCCTCCCCATTTTAGGTAGCCACTGTTTAAGTTGCCCTTCCCTATCTACCCTATATACAAAGGGGATAGGATTGATACTTGATGTGAAGACTCCTTCCCTCTCACTTGGTATTTTGAGCCAGTACATCCATAAAGTATAAGGAGCTTTGGTAGTGTAGTGGTTACAAATTGGGCTGCAAACCTCAAGGTCAGCAGTTCAAAACTACCAGTTGTTCCACAGGAGAAAGGCGAGGCTTTCTGCTCCCGTAAAGATTTATAGCCTTGGAAATCCTGTACAGGGTTGCTATGAGTTGGAACCGATTCCATGGCACATCACCACCACATCCATAAGTATAGGTCAAGTTCATCAAACTATAGCAGTTTATACTTGTTTCCTTTATCAAAAAATTTTTTTGTCTTTCTCTAGTCAAGTTCTGATCACCAAGCCATTGAAGCTAGGTTGAATAGGTACTATCTACAAATTTGAGTGTTCTTGTGTCTCCCATCATTTCATATAAGCTGGATGCTTCACTCTCAGCTCTAGCCCTCCATGGCTATGTCCTTGTCCATGGGCTCAGGAGTCTCCAGGTCTCACCACACTTTAGACCAACCAGCCCTTCCTTTTCTCTCTCTCATCTCCAAGTAGACATGTGTCTATGGAATGTGGTTGAACTCGGCCCATATCCTCATTGCTGGCTTTCCCCCTCTTTTACTCACCAGAAGACCAATGTGGTTGCTAGCAAGCCTGCTCATGTGTTACTTCTGAATTTCAGTCTTGGAGTCGGGGTTTGTCCTAAAAAGACTTGATTGCTTGCTTTGTTGGCTGCGTGGTGAACAACTTGCTTGTTTTTGTAGAAGCCAATCATTGTCTGGCATATATATATGTAAAAATATAATATATA